AAACAACCACCCGCGACGAATCAGACCGATTCGTTGTACGCCTGCCGAAGAAAGAGCACGTTTTGAGTCAACTTGGTGACTCCGAGATCGGTGCCTTTCGCAGATATCAATGGATGCAACGTCGACTCAGCAAGAACCCCAATTTGAAAGCCCAGTATGTTGATTTCATGGCAGAATACATCGTACTTGGCCATATGATTTCCATAGCTCCGTTACAAGACAACACCCGCTCATTTTATCTTCCTCACTACGCCGTGTTCAAGCCGAGTAGCACCATCACTAAGTGCAGAGTCAAACGATGGCGATCACTCCTAATAATAGTGATACGGCATCTTGATATAGCTAAAGAAAAAAAAAATGGGGAATATATCACAATAGATCAGAAAAATGGTCGCAGTGATGAAAATACCCGACAAGGAAAAAAAAGTGCAGAGTGGTTTTCGATGGGTCCAGCAAGACTTCCACGGGAATCTCTCTCAATGACTGCCTCATGGTGGGGCCAACTGTGGACTTTGGAAGTGGAAACTGAGCTGGGAAGAGGCGCTGCCCAATTCACTATGCACCGTATGGAAATACTACAGACTTGGTCTGGCTGCTCAAGGGTTATTTTCCATCCCTCGTTTGGTCAAAGCTCCAGGCGCCGGAGACAACGTGCAACGTCATGAGTTTTGCGATGCATCCCAAAATGATTACGGAGCATGCATCTACTTGGGAAGTGTTGGAAGAAGTGGTGTCGTCACAACCCGTCTCCTAATCGCCAAATCCCGAGTAACTCCTATCCAAACCTTATCAATTCCCCGCCTAGAGCTCTGCTCTGCTGTCCTCCTCAGCCAACTGTTCCAAACCGTTATGTTGAGCCTCAACATCAATGCTAATGCTTATTTTTGGTCTGACTCTTCAATCACTCTCTACTGGCTGTACAACCCACCGTGCAACTACAACACTTTCGTGGCAAACCGTGTCGCGGAGGTGCAGCGACTCACTGAAGGAGGCACTTGGAATTACGTCGCCGGTCTGGAGAACCCGGCCGATCTCATCTCGAGGGGTGTCGATCCCTGCGAACTCGTCAACAACGCCCTATGGTGGAAGGGTCCATCATGGTTAACATCCAATCCACCGGAGTGGCCAAGTAAGTTTTCAGTCTAAGACGCCTGTGAATTTCCTCCCGGGGTCTCGAGGTGATGCTTCGTACGCTTGCAGCCGTCTCCCGACCGCACACTGTTCATCCACTACTCTTCACTAACGAGACTCACCCCAAATAAATCAAATAAATCATCTTGATCTTGACTTTTTTACCTAGGGATGAGTACTTAAGGGGGTTAGATTTTGATAAGTTCTTTAGTGGGAATGACACTGATAAAGACTGAACGTTGTAGTCGAAATACGTATCTGTCATGGATACCAAAATTAATTAAGTGGAATTAAATGGAAGATAACCTTTTTTGCTGTTTTATTTAAGCATTCCGCTAACAACCCAATTTCATTACTTCATATAAATCAATAAATCAATAAATCAATAAATCAATAAATCAATACATCAAAAAATCAAAAAATCAATAAATAAATAAATAAATAAATCAATAAATCAATAACTCAATAAATCAATAAATCAATAAATCAATAAATCAATAAATCAAATAAATCAAATAAATCAATAAATCAATGAATCAATAAATCAAACATTACAAGAAAGTGATTTTTGAGGCATTTTGCAAAGCAGATGGAATCTCTCTCCAGACCTATTCTTTCAATGTTTTCAAAAGATAACTGCCCAATCAATCTATGAGTACAGTTTTTGGTATAGTTTTAATGAAAAAATATTGTAAGCGAAACCAGTTTCATTTAAAAGTGTGTCGTTCGTCCATATCATAAATTTTGAATGAATTTCGAAGGACTTATGATTTGCAAAAAAAGAAAGTTAAACCATCTTCAGATTTCCATCTAGCATCTCGATGCTCTCAACTTAATTAACCCTAATCAAATGGCTTAAAACTTTCGATGAGGAAATTTATTAAAATAAATCTATATATTCTCCACGCTTATTGTGTGCTGCCTTGATTCAATCATCATTTGATTATTCGCTCTAGCATCTTGTTTTTGCAGCTTTAGCAAGGTTATAAATTCTAAAATTTTGGAAAAAACCCCGGGAATTTCACAAAAAAAAAACCAGGAATCGGGAATTTTCTGATCCCGAGAAATCCCAGGATTTCCCGGGCAAGACCCCCTAGCTAAGACTGACAGATGCATATAGGAATAAGATACACCGGGCAAGTTGAAACACGGGAGGAGGTTGAAACAGTAGGTGTATCTCTTAACGGAAGTGAATGATCACTGATATTATTTCTAATCTCAGTGGTACTACACAATGTCACTCAAAAATAATTACAGTGAATATTCACTTCCGCTAAGAGATACACTTACTGTTTGTATTTTCAATTCAAACTAGGCCTTAGGGCCAAAAACTGGAGCACTAGTGCCATAAGTGGATAAAAATTAACTATACATTTACAATCAAATACAATACATTTTATTGTTGGCAATTAACCATATTGTAATTATATTATATTGGTCAAATGATCAAATTGTCACCACAATAGGTTTACAATAAATTCTGTGTTTTAAAATTTTTGAACATTAAAAAAAAAACCAATAAAATTTACTGTAATGAGATCAAAAATGTTCGAGAAAAATATAATATATAATAGTTACGGTAACTAACAGCCAGCTCCCTCTTCCATTGTAAAGTCTCATTAACAAAAGATTTTATTGTACGTAGCAATAAGTTATACTGTATTTTTATTGTTTTATCAATAAAATTTGTGGTTACTCCCGGAAAAAAATAACCATACAATTACCATAAAATAAAATACAGTTACAAGTAAATCTATTGCCAACAATCGATCTTATTGTGTGTATATAGTACACGAAGTTTTAACATATTGTTATTACAATAGATGTACAATACGTCCCATATAGTAAGAGTTTTCAACAATAGAACAACAATACAATTAATGGTAAATGATTCAAGTTTGTTCGGGAAAAAAGTGATTTTTCGTATGGTTAAGATACATAACGACCCCCTTAATCTATTGTATATTCCCCCATTTACCATAGATTCTATTGTAGAAACAATACATTCTATTGTTATTTTATCGTTGTGGAGAATACGATTTATTGTAAATACCATAAACTCTATTGTATGGTTACAATACATTTAATTGTACCTCTACGGTTCTTTTTTTACGGGCTACTACATATTTTATTGCATTGTGACAATAGATTCTATTGTTTTTGTATGGTATTTTTTTTATTCGAATTACCCTACTTATCATATTTTGCTTTTATTTTATTTTTATTATTTGAAATAATTTGCAATTAATGCAGCTGCAATTTAAGATCGTACGATCAAAAATACGATTAAAAAACAGAATTAAGTGTATGTGAAAAGAAAAAAAAATCGTAATTTGGTTGACTTTCGTCGTCAATATAAAGCAAATATGGAATTGGAAGATGCATAAATGACGTAGCATTTTAGGATGATTAGCCATGTAGAAAAATACGCTACAACGGGGAGGGGGGACCAATGTGGGTGCTTCGTGCTGAAACGTAACAAACGTTAAGCGTTTGATGAAGCACAATCGTTGGACCGCCTCCCCCTTGTATCGCTTGTATTGAATTTGTCTACATGGTTGGATACCCATGCTACGTCATTTATGCATCTTCCCAATAAAGTGAACTTTAAATTTAGTCATCTTCAATAATAAAATAAATGTACTACAAAATGTGATACCCCTCAAGTAACCACCAGGTCCGTTAATAACCCGATAACTACCCTTTTTGCAATATACGGCTTAAATTTTTTTTATCAGCCCAAGTAACCCAAGTAACCATCAAGCCCACTAATGCGTAATCCGTAAATTATCTGTATATTGGCATTATATAAGATAACATAATTAAACATTTAAAGATATGTTAGCATATGAATGAACTCAATGATGGCGGGTCGGTTTTTATGTGATTCATATCCCCGCAGTGTAAAGATTAAAACGTTGGCACAAAGACAGTGCATTTGGTCCATCCAGCTTCGTTGGTTCATCATCGGTTTCGCTGGGCTTCTTCGGCATTTTTGGGGTTTGTTCTTCAAAATAGGTAGTTCTTGAAAAATATAAGCAAAATCGCCACCCAGCCAAACAACTTCAAAACGAGTGTAGAATCTGTGTGGTGCTGCTGTCCAAAAGTGTGCTGACGCGTTAGATTACTTCAACGCAATTAAATGCAACATTCTAGCTGTTTACAAATATTGAACAAATAATCGAATAAAAAGTCAGCTACCAACAAATAGAATATTCATGTTGTTCTGATTAATTTGTCCGCGGCTTACGGCAGTTTATAAAATTTATTGAAAAATTCGTTGATTGGAATGTAATAGAACCGTGCATATTAAAACTTCTTATATATTATTTTGACTACCCAGCAACTCAACATTCCGTCAGGTTGGGATCAGAAGTTGTGTCTCTTTGCTCTTTTTAAAACATAAGATTTTGAAAAGCTTTATTACGCATTCCGATAGTAGATACCAACCATAATTATTGGGACCACTTTTCAGCAATAGATGGCTGCCTCAACTACAGCTAATTGGTTTACTTTCAAAATATGTATTATTAATAATATGGGCAATCCCTGGAATGATTGATAATAATCTAGTTTTAAAAAGCCTACATTCTTTGCAATCACTGAGTGCAATCTTATCATCTGAGAGCTCATAATTGTGTAGGATGAATAAAAAAGAAAAAAAAATCAAAAGTTTAGCGCTATGGGTATTTTTTGAAATTGCTTTGCCCAATGACCTATGCGCAAGCATAGCCGGCAGGGACGTGCTGCTGTAGGAGTCGGTGTTTTGAAAGCAAAATGAAAGGAAAATGATAGAAGCTGCTGTGTTACGCATGTGCGTACAGCCAAATCAAGGCATCATCAGTGATTTAGACAATGGCTCGACCTACCTCATCTACTGCTGGATGCACCTCTTTGGCGATGACATCCGAAAGGCGATTAAGTAGTGTGATTCGCTCGTGGGCCCCTTGGGTCTCGTCTGCCAGTTTTCGGTAATAGTTAGTCAAATAGCGCGCTCGCTGATTGCTCAACGTATCCATTTGAATAATCAAGCCTGCAAAAGAACAAAGGAAAATGTATAATATCGAAGCGATTTTTCTCTCCCGAGTGGCGCTGTGTTCGAGCCCAATTACTGTTATAGCCGACCCATTTCACAGGGTCGCCCAATTTTTTCAAAATTTGTTCATTGCGAACTTTCTTCGCTTGCTGCTGCAGTATCTGTCGTTGTCTCTCGATGCCATTTAGTAGCTGAACTTCCTTGTCGAGCAGCATGTTCATCTCGGCGATTTTAGGGGCACCCGAGTATTTCTCACAAATCTGCTTTAATTCGTTTTCCTTCCACATCTGCACCTGAGCGTACAGTGCGTCAAAGTCTTGCTTTGTTTTTGGAAAGGTTTTTACTATGCATTCCTTTCGGTACTCGTCTTGGCGAACTTTCGTCCGCTTACTCTCCCGTCGTTTCTGTTCTTTTTGGAGGCGTCTGCAAAGATACAGTGTGGCAAACGTTAGTATTCCTGTTAAATGGAAAGTGGTGTGCAGCATGGTTTCGGTGGGTTCAGAGAATTATTAGAAATTAAATATGAAAAGTTGTACCTCCAAGATGTATGCATGGGAAAATAATGAGGATGTGACTGATTTGCTTGCACTTGGCATTGAGATTAGACCGGTAAACCATCGTTAAATGCCGTTGAATAGCTAAGCGCTACAAACAACACTCACCTCCATTCTGCAGCGCTTTCTTTTATTAGTCTCTGCCACATGTAACGCCGAAAATTGCGCTGGATAAGTGTTACCTTCCCTATTAGATCTATGCGCTTTGTCATCTCGTCGTAGCTTTCGTACTTTCCCGGTTCGATGACGCGGTCAGTGTATTTGGACACGTAGGAATGCTCGGTAGCATCACCGAAATTCACCGTAGCGCAATCACGCGGTGTGTCAATTTCGATGGCCTTCTCTTCTACGGTTTGTGTGTCGCGGCTCAGTATTCCTTGGTGGTAGGAAATGATGCAAAACAGAAGTATAATTTGTAGCTAATTGGTGTTGCACATGTTTTGACTGAAACAGTTAGAAATTCACGGTGGATTAAATACTCAATTGGTGTTGATGTGTTACTTTTTGCATTTTTTGTGAGATTTCTAAAGTAAAGTCTGCATTGTCATGAGAGCTAGCTTGCTACACACAAAAAGAAAAAAAAATCGATTTATTTTGCACATCTGCAAGACAATTCTTTAATTTTCAGAATAGACACATTTAAAATAAATTGATTGATTTATTTAGATATTTTGAGTATTTCCTCTGACCACTCTGTCTTAACCCTCCGGCGCTCATTGTCACCAAGAGCTGATACCTGTTTTGTTTTGGTGGTAAAATTTTCAATTGTTATTCGATTTTGATAAACTGGTTTCAAATGAAAGCTATATTTATCTACTTTCATTTGATTTAGCGGCGTCGGTGGTGTAGTACTAAGCGTGATTACCTCTCACTCCAGTAGGCCTGGGTTCAATCTCAGTCGGCGCCACCGGGATGTTCTGAGGCATAACATCTCTGATGACGAAGTAAAGGGAAGTAAAGCCGTTGGTCCCCGGTTCATGAGTTGATCGGTCGATAGGTAGGGTCCAGGTGTGGGAGCTACCTCCCTGGCGTCGGTTGCATTGGTGCTCAGCACGGAAAACAAGATCGACGGAAAACAAATCAAGGAAAAAAATACTTTCATTTAATTTGGTGTGGACCAGATTGGACCTGAGCGGCAACCTTGAGTCGGTTTAAATAAAAAAAAGCCAATTTCTACACGCAAACCAAAAATCTATTACAATGAATGTTAGTTCCGTTTCCTATCATCCTCTGTTCATGAACATCGCAATGAATGTTAGAAATTGACCATGCAGGCGATGTAATGGTTTTTTGCCTTTTTTATTTTGTGTTCTATCTACGCTTTCGACTATACCAGTAAGCTTGTAGAACGACGCACATTGTAGAACATTGTAGAACCACGCACACACTTGCCTCGAATCTCTCCAGCAGAAAAAGCATACGAAGTCGAGTATGCGAGACAATGAGTGCTTCATGTTTGCTTTTAGGCTATCCACATTCAGAAGCATGGAGAGAGCAGTGGAGAAAGCACAAGTCTGATAATCGAAACGTTCGTGGTTCGAGTCCAGTCGGCAGTCTGTTTCCTATTTTTTTCGACATAACTAATTTACCTCACTAATACACTCTACATGTTTCGATCTCCAATTTTCTTGCATTGGACCGCAGCTAGGTATATCGCATCCTCGGTTCATGCGGTCTCCACTAACACCCTCTGATGGTGAATCCCACATAATTGTAAGAGAATCTTACATCCCTTACAACATCTTAATGTTGGGTGTATCTATGATTTTTTAAACATGTTTTAGTGGTCCTAATAAACATCCTAAATAATATTAATAAAAATGAGTATACTTTAACTATTCCCTTATGGGCGCTAGAGGGTTAATAAACTCTATTAAATAAAGGGACAGGGAAAAGTCAGTTTGCAATAGTTTGCTTAAGCACTCCGTTGCTCAAACTGGCCTAATAAACCTATGATAAGTGAGTCAGAGTTTGACCGTAGCGGTTTTCTAATGGGCCCTGTCTTAAATGTCACAGGCGTAGAGTAAATTGTAAACAAACGCATTGGAGACTCCATACAAAAATCAAACATGGCTGAATCTCGAATTTGAAACCACCTTTTTAAACTCACCTCGGGTTTTAAATCCGACCAATTTGTAAATCCAACCTCTTAAAATGTTCGTTTTGGTTTGAAAACAAACATATAGGGGGAATGGATGTAATGTCGGCCTAAATGTCCCTAATTTGGGCCCATACATAGTGATCAAAAACACCCATTAGTACCACCCAAATGACGGGTTCATCTAGATAAAAATTAATAAATAGCAGATTTTTAGCGATGGGCCCAGTCTTAGATCCATAGGCCCACATTAGAGCCATTTCCCCTACAAATTTGAAGTTCGTACGTTAACGTTTAGAGATTGCTCATCGGCCCTAAAAGAATGGTAGTGTAAGCAACCACCCATGCCATGGCGAGCTCGCAGCCTTGGTGTACGCTCCATAGGTATCACCATGGTATAAACCATGAAAAGATACACATATGCTGAACGTCAACATATAACAGTATGTTACATAGACACTCTTCCAAGAAATTGTAAGCGTATAAATGAAGGCTCTCTTCAAAAATAGGTTGAAATTAGCGTAAAACGTTAAAACATTGAAAGTAGGCGTTCCGGAAGTAGCAATCTGATCCGAAATCTTCTTTGTTTGTTAGGAGAAATTCCATGGCAACTAAAAGTGCTTTGGAAACAAGTGAAAATATAGCTACATATAAATATAGCTTACCTATATGAATTCATTCTTGTAACGAACTTTGAAGCAGATGGACTAGCAGCAATAACAGCAGTAGCAGCAACAGTAGCAGTGGCAACAATATAGGTAGCGATAAACCAGCTGGCAACTACTAATACTGTGGAATTTTTTAGAGCCTTGGGGATTGATATCAGCTTCTTGGATGAACCAGTATGTTAATGGAGTAATAAATAGGAATACCAAAAAGGAGAAGAAATTGTTACTCGGCTTCGAGTGGTAAACGACCACGAAGAGAGAGCAATTAAATTGATGCAGAATTATAACATAAATGTGGCAAAAAAGAAAATGTCTTTCAAAACCTGCTGTTAAATGTGCAAGATTTGCGGAAGAAACTTCCAAATTAACAAAAGACAACACTACATAACTTTATTAATAAGCAAATTAAATGAATTGGATTGCCTTCATTACTTTGCTTTAATCCACTTTTGAAATAACGACCAATTACAATATTCGTGCATTTTGTGGTCGAATTGTTTATGTACACCGATGAATATAATTTGTACCAACAAACTGAACGCAACTGAACAACTGGGGTTGCCTAACCTTGGTCTGCACAGTATGAAATGGGATGCAACCGTTACCCCTGATATTTCCCGGCGCCAAATAAGTTTTCAACTGGTTTATTAGGTTCTATAATGTATTTTGGGGAGAATCGGGCAAAACGGACCATTTTGTATAGGTTCACTGTTAGAGTAACTATTGAACCTCATTAATTTAGTTTTTAGTAAACCACTAACCAGTGGTCAAACTTAACTTGCTCTCCGAATACACAATAGGTCCAGGTTAAAATAGACCATTTGGTGTAGTTTAATTTTTTCACTGCTGTCGGTGTGGATGTTTAAACGTCATCTGGAACAAGCAGGGGTGTTCCAAAGTCGTGCTTAGACATTCTGGGACACCCTATATTAGACAGTTTTATAGCTCTATCTAGAAATCAATGGTAATGGTGCATGGTCGTTCCTAGTTTGTGGAATGATTTGTCTGGTTAATTCGGATAACGAACGGTACTCAGTCAATTAGATAGAACGCAGAGCGGCAAAATTGTTCTGACGACGTAAAACATATGTTCAGACTGTTTTTTTCTTGATTTGTTTTCCGTGCTGAGCACCAATGCTATCGACGCCAAGGAGGCAGCTCCCACACGTGGACCCTACCTATCGAGGCATCAGCTTATGAACTGGATACCAACGGTTTTACTTCCCGAAGGAAGGCGTGATCAGAGATGTTATGCCTCAGAATATCCCGGCGGTGTCGACTGGGATTGAACCCAGGCCTGCTGGGGTGAGAGGTAATCACGCTTACCGGCGCTGCTATGTTCAGACTGTATTTTAATTTATTTGGATTGTAATATACTGCTTTGCTAGGGAATATGTACTATCGATTTTTTTTTCATTGAATACAATTGGCGCAGAAGAGTTTACTGACCCTTCAGCTGAAAATTGCTTAAGTAAAGTCTTAAAAAAAACACAATTGGCATATAATCCAGAATGCCTGTATTAATATTAATTTAAACTGAAACTGATGTTTTAATGAAAGACGACATTATAATAGTTTCTAGTTCACCAGAACCATAAAAAATAAATAAATTGTTTCTAGGAGAATTGCAAATTTTTGTAACGAATTTTGGATTATGTCACCTACAGTATGCATTACTATACTAAATTAGTGGCATTACCTTCAAATTTGATTCTCTCCAAAGGCGGACCAGTTTGGGTGAAGGCGTCATGATATTCGGTTTCTGAAATGAAAGTAAAGTGATTACTTTTTCCCACAATAGCTCTCAGTCGCAAAACTATCACCACAGAATGGGGCATATGGGCAACAACCAAAGTGTTCCAAAATGAAAGAAAATTGTGGGAAGCAAAATGCGAGAGACCAGACGTAGAAGCGAAGCAAATAGACAAAGAAATTTTACTTGTGATTTTATCTACATAACCACCGATGAAAGGCTTGATGATGGCTTGATTTTCGATTTCAACCACAAGGTCACGGCTCACCTTTCCCTCCGTGGTTCCATCAGCCGGTATGCAAACCGTAATTATATCCGGTAGACTGAAATTGCTGAAATACAGGGACAATAGTAATTAATAAATCTTGCACGTTATTAGCGTTGATTATTGAGGCGGGTGCATACTTGTAGTAGACCTGAGGTTCCAGGCGGATATTTTCCTCTCTTGCACTTTCGGCTAGCTCAAGATCCATGTTTACGATGCCGTAGTTGTTGTCACAGACATCGAACAAGCGTTGAACGTCTTCCAAGATTCTCTCACCACTGCTTTGCTTGAGTATCAGAAATTTTGGTTGAATTTGAAACTTTTTCGAAATGTCTTTCTTGACTTCTTCGATCGTGTAAATGTTTGGATATGCATGGGTTACTATTTGAGATTTGAGTATGCGAAATTTGACGGTAACGTCTTTCAGCACAAGCAGGTCATCATCATCGACTTCTTCTCCGTCCAGCTCAGTGGACGTAGTATCCGCCAATTTTGCTTTGGGCGGTCTGGACATCTCTGCTGTTAATGAATTAAAATGAGAGTGTTACTTATTGTAATTATTCAAACCAATTAGCGAATTCGCACTCGAGCGCTTGCCGCCGCAATCGCATTTGATACCGCAAAACTTGTTCTAATATCGATTCTCGGGCTTTGATTACCATCGTACGGCATACATAGCAACAGTTGCGCTGACGGATAGACATGGCATGGCAACTTGATATGAGGTACGTATTTCAATGCGCACCTCCTCTGCGGCGGCAACAGGTGTTTTGACCGACTATACTCCGGACAACCTAGTATTGGCGGAAAGGAGTGTTTCCGATGCAGATGCAGAAAGTTGTTCTACACTTCTTTTATTTATTTTTTATTGATAAAAGGGTCAACGCACTTTGGGCCATTTTTCTAGAATGGAAATCAAGGATTTGGCGCGTCATCTATGATATTATTGCTTTAAATTGAGGTGTACTTTCAACAAAGCTTTAAAAATTTGTTTGAAATTATTTGAGTAATATCAAACAGAACATTTCTATTAAAATGTTTTACTTACAGTAGCATTTATTATTAGTGACAATATTCATAGCCGTTTACTGAAAAAAAAGTAAATAATATCTACTTTCTATTGGTGCTCTCAACAGGTCAATTCGAGAAAATGGCCGAAACATGAACATTATAGTGGCCATTTTCAGGTCAATCCTGGGATTCCAAACGCTTAAGCATTGATAGCTGTTTATGGTGTCATACACGCTTATTCTGGTCAACTCAAAATTGAGTCGAATGTACACATCTCAGCGGCAAGTAGGGCTACTCAAATTTGAGTAGCCTTATGTTGACTCACTTTTGAGTAAACGACGTTCTCACGTAGACTGATTCAAATCCACTCAGCGATATTTTCAGTTGCGGGGGGATTTTTGTGTTGATTTTATTCAAGGAAATGAAAATTGTCTTCTCGGGATCCATTCTACCGGAGCAGAAAATGGTTCAACACCATTGACCTAAGCAATTCCTTCTTGCCGGAAGGAATTTCTGCTGGTTTTGAGTGAAACATTCACCCGTTTTCTAGGCCGTTTCCTCCCACATGGTTGACATTTTTCCAATTCCAGGATTTTGCTGACTGAGTGGCTTTTACTCAGTTTGACATTTCTCGTTTACTCAGTTTTTGACAACTCGATACATCGGACGAAAGTGAGTACGATCGACTCACACGGTGAGTAAGCTGAATTTAGCGTGTAAGCAATGAATGCCGCAAGGACTTGGTAAATCGCCAAAACATAAAGGGGAACGAGACACGGCAATGAAGATGAAGATATAGATATATGCGATTTGTTTGCAGATTTCTTTCAAGAAATTTATACAACATATTCGGAAGCAGATCGTGATCGCGCGTATTTTGAGTTCTACCAAGCGACATAAGCGTCAGTCAAGTCAATGCACATGACATTTTGAATGCTTTAAAACATCTAGATGCATCCAAAGGCTCTGGACCTGATGAAGTTCCTCCTTTGTTTATGAAAACTTTAGCAACTGAGCTTACCGCGCCATTATTTTGGCTTTATAATATGTCACTGGAATCCGGAAACTTTCCAATAATATAGAAAAGCTCATTTCTTCTTGTTTCCTTTATTTAACGTCAGTCTCTGTTCCGCAATCTAGTGCCAATCACCGACGGACATCGATTGCCATCCATTGACGGCAATCGAATGTGCAGGAAGGCAGCTTCCATACCTGCGTAGGATATCGCACCCATTCACAACACACATGGGCCGGGACCAATGGCTTTAATTCCTTTCCGAAGGAAGACGTGACCAGAGATTTTTATGCCTCAGAAAAATCCCACCGACCTCGGCTGGGATTGAACCCAGACCCATTGGGGTGAGAAAGCAGTCACGCTTACCACTACACCACCGGCGTGGCAAAAGCTCATTTCTAGTGCCTATTTTTAAGTCTGGTAAAAAATGTGACGTACGTAATTATCGTGGTATAGAGTCGGTGTATAATGAGTCACGCCAAGAGAAAAACAGTTGAACTCGCAACACGGTTTTTGAAAGATTCCCTTTATTTTAACTTGGCAACAGAGGACTTCTGCATCAACTTCAAATGACTTTTAGCTAGGAAAAAAATTAACGGCTGTAGTAAATCATTATATCAGGGATTTTGACGAGTTATCTTACAGAAAAATAGTAGAAATTGTCATTACTGATCATTACAAAACGTATCGCATGACAAATGTAATGCTCACTGCGTGTAAATATATGGTCATTTCTTCGATTATATTTTATATTTATTTGCAATACCTTTCGTGGACTTTTCATAGCATCGTAATGCTTGTTTACTTTGCACGATAGGTAGCCGGTTTGACAGTTCAATAGGTAGACTTGGCTTCACTCTTGGCGTGACTCATTATACACCGACTCTATCGTGGTATAGCCATTATCTCTTGCATCCAGAAGCATTTTGAGGCGATTATAATTGAAAAATTGTTTGCCCAAATCAAAAAAAAATTACAACTGTGCAGCACGGCTTTTTAAAGGTCGTTCGACAACCAATAATTTACTCGGATTTATTAATTATTCTCTGGAAGCAATGGATAACGGAAATCATGTTGAAGTTTTGTACACAGACTTCAGCAAAACCGTGTTGACATACCCATGCTTCTTTTTAAACTTCTAAAGATGGGAATGCTGCCTAAACTCCTCAAATGGCTTGAATCATATCTAACCAACCGCGATCAACTAGTAAGATTCAAGAAAAAAAAAATCAATCACTATTCAAGCCACATCAGGAGTTCCACAAGGTTCTCATTAAGGACCCCCTTTTTATTCATTCTATTTGTAAACGACATATCCTACATTCTTAAAAAACTAAAAGTTTTAATTTACGTTGACGATGTGAAACTTTTTCTATAAATTAAAAATACTGAAGACATCAACACATTCAAAAATGAAATACAGATGATTCACACTTGGTACAACAAAAGCCTGCTACAAATTAATATAAAACAATGTAACTCGATTACCTTTAGTAGAAAACGAAACATATTAGGTATTACTACAATTTCTTTAGGAACCCAAAATGTTCGAAAGTGTGATAGAGTTAGGTACTTAGGACTCTTACATTCATTGATCATTATAACAAAATTATAAACAGAGCCAACAATATGCTTTCAAAACAACTTTCATGACCCGTATACGATAAAAACTTTGTACATCGCTTATGTCAGGTCAATACTAGAATATTGCAGCATAGTTTGGTCTCCTTTTTCAACCACACATTAAGAAAGAAACTTTTATATACCATCACGTCATTTACGACATCGACATCTATTTGCTACAAGCTATCATCGTATGAACTATGCCAAATTTGGGCCAATCAACCAAATTATGTCTTGCGATTCTATTGACTTTACCATGTTTAAAACTAAATTAAAGCAATATTTCTGCACATATTTACTAAGACAAAACTGAGTGAGTTTATGTGAATTAGCGTTTAAGATAATCTATGTAACAAAAACGGTCTACGAACAAACGCCTTGCTTGGAGACCATTCAGAAATGATGTACCATATTTTGATCAATTTTAGAACCCCCTCCCCACTTGTAGCGTGTTTAGCTATACCTAATACATGGCCGGTCACAACTTATGAAACCTCGCCCTCCCTCCCTGAAATGCTATGTTTATGCTATGTTGCATTTATGCATATTCCCTTAGAGAGGACCTAACGTGATATATTTATGAAGAGCTTTTGAGTGTGTTGATTTATTTCCTTTTACTTCCGTTATAATTGCTTACCTTTTGACAGATACGCGTATTTCATCAACTACTTGCAAACTTCATCAGTGCCAAGTAGTCAACACCACTGGATCCTTCGTCAATGTATACCACTTTTGCAAAAGCTCATATTTTGGGGTTGTGAATCAAACTGCAGGGCATGTGCAATGGTGGAAACGTACATCAAACTTAAGACTGGATCCATCTGGATCCATTTCTCTCCAGGTACGGGTCAATGTTTGTCTGACGCTTGCTGTACTCGGGTGGCGTTTAGAACAGGCCTTGGCCTTCATGACGCGCCATATTGAGTAATCCAGCGGATTAAGATCGGGGCTGGATGGCGGCCACATATCCTTCGCCCAGAACGGAAGATGTTCCTGCAACCACTTCTGAGTGTGGTTCGAAGTGTGGCATGGAGCTCCATCTTGTTGAAATACAACAATTGGCTTCGGGCCGTACTGTTCTTCGATCCACGGAAGAACATACTTACTTAAAATCCCGATGTAGACCTCCGTGTTGACCTTGTCGCCTTCTGGAATGAACGCCGGGTCCTTTTTTTTTGCCATCGGAAGCCACCAATCCAAACACCATAACGCTAGCAGGATGCTTGGTCAGATACACGTTCTTGCGCTCGTCGGCCACGTCTTTTACCGGAAGAGAACTAATATACCGGTAGGTTTTGGAATTTGATGCGGGATCGACGGTAAATATGCTCTCGTCGGTGAACAGGATTATCGGATTTTTTCGCTTAAGGAAGTTCAAGATTTTCTTGCATCGTTCGACTCGTAGCTCCCGAATGCGGTTGGTAATCATGTGAGTTTTTTTCCGTGCCCTTGACTTCACCCCGCAATCTTCCTTTCCGATCTTCCGTGCCGTAAAGTCACTGATCCCGTGTTCCTTTGCCATTTTCCTTATTGAACGCACTGGATTCACCCGAATCTTCCTTTTGATAGCAGTGATAACCCTCGGAACCCGAGCTGACCTCGGACGACCTGTGGCCACCTTCGCGCATAGTTGCCCTTTCTTTTCTCGGTCTAAAACCCTTTTGACGGTCCACCGGGACACTCCCACGGCCATTGAAATGTCTTTTTGCGACATTTGCGCGTGGGACAAATCACGAATACGCTGCCACTTCGTCATGGTGCAACTGTCAAACTAAGTAAATCATTTTCTTTTAAGGGCCACGCACATGAGAGCCGTTTGCGTTGCGTTGACGTAAATTTGACAGTTAGACAATAG